AACTATAGCGAGCCCTCACTGTACCAAGAGACAATTTAGAATTTACATCAAATGTTTTGTGGCGGTCCCCAGCTGTCTGGTGTGAAGCTTTGCAGGTGTCCACCTGCACTTGCGACCGGCAAGACTGGCACGCGATGGTCAATTGGGACGCCAATCCAAACTGAACCTCGCCGATAATGTGGCGCAATGATAGCGGTTTGTCGCAATGATGGCACCACAAATCTTGCCCTAGTTTCTGGAGCTCAACCACCCGGCGACGTGTTGGAGGGGTTAGGTCGGGGTCATCCTCTGCCATTCTCTTCCGCCCCTTATTACTCAGCCCTAGCTTTTGGACCTGCCCCTTCCAATCCGCAACATTCTTTTTACAAAACCGACCCTTTGTTCGACCGGTTGGTTGTCGGATGTATTTCCTTTTCTCCTCCACGTCCATCTCGAGTCTGGTCTGTCCATACGGTAACCTCTACTTCACTTCTGCTAGGTTGTCTGCTGTAGTCTGCTAAAGTCGTCTGCTCGAGTACCCTCCTCTCCCCCACAAACCAAATTTCTCATACACTAAACTACGTTGTCAATGCATAACTATTTTTTTTATTCCACTTCGTTGAATGTGCGTTGAGTGTGTAAATTTGGTCTGAATATTTAGTAAATGACAAAATGTGATTTTAACGATGGTTAATAATCACCAGTATCTGCGACAAACTTTATCTTCATGAGCGTCTCTGGGTTGACTAGCACGAAGCGTTTGAGCTACCTTAAGCTTCCCATGTACAGCAAATAAGAGTTGATACTACGCTCACCACTTAGCACTTCCTCCCATGCAGTAATGCGTCGCTGCTTCAGCTCTGCTCGTTTCGGGCCCATGTAATTCTTTTCTTCTGCACGAATAGAGTTTATCTTGGCGTACGTCTGTCTAAGCCTGGACCTCGATTAAAACTGATATTGAGACAAATATATTGGGATGAGCAGAGTTGAACTGAGAATTGAAATCGCAATGGAACGCCTCAGCGCCCTGCTGTCTCTCTAGAAAGGTGGCCAGAGGCCCGAACCATGTCTTGGAAGAACTTGCATGTGTTGGATGATCCCAATCTGATTGTCCACGGATGATCAGCCCCTCTAGCTCCAGTATGACAGGGAGGGATGTTGCTGAAGAGCACTTTTGCTTTCGGAGCCACTGGGGTCACATCCGTCCTTATTTCTCCTGAAACCCCAAGTCCGACGCACCAGGGTGAGCTGGTCCATTCTTCGCCGTCATCATCATTGGGTTCGGAGACCGCGTCTTGAGAAGCAATCCTGGCAGCATAACTCTGGAAAGTGTGAACCGATCCAAACGGCGCCTTCTTGATTTTCTCGGCCAGTGTAAACTTGCGTGAGGGAACCTCCGTCCGAGGAGCTGGAGCCGGACCAGATGTTCTTGGTTTCGACTGACGTGAGGTGCAGTAGTTGTAGCAACCTGCTGATCTGATTCAGCATCCAGTGCTCTCATACGCTGGGCGAAGGAGAGCACTACCTCAGGCTCCTTTCTCTTGACAGATGATGGTTGGGATGCAGCTCTAGTCGGAGCGGCCGCCGTCGTACTTGACCGATTTAGCAGGTGCTACAGGAGCAGACACTGGACCGGCTGCTAGCTTCACCTTAATGTCGGGTAGCTCCTTCTCAATGTTTACAGCCCTTATTTCTGCTGTGGCAGCACGCTTCAAGATTTCCTTGGTGGTTGCCTCTTGCTGGCGAAGATCGTCTCCCATCAGGCTCAGCGACCGTTTAAGGCTTTCATTCTCCTTGTCGAGGACATCTATATGCTCAGCCATCATCTCTAACTTCTTCTCAGCGGTTACCAGGGGCTTTTCCACCATCTCTTGGATGAATGTGTACACCTCCTGCCTGGTGCGTTCGCCAACTTCCAAAGCCCCATACATGAACATTGCTAACATAATCATCATGCCCACTACTTCCGTATCATCTTCTGGCTGGGGTTCGGTTCTACGCTGCAGGATCTCTAGACACTCTGAGAGGCGCATTCCCCTCAAGCTGTCACGAAGTCGGGGCATGAGATCAAACGCCGCATTAGGGACCTCAGGGTCTGTTGCTACCCATTCCTTCATCAGCTGATAACACTTCTCCATCCGAGGTCTGTGAGACGCCTGCGACGCAGCTTGCTCAGTCTTCGCCGGTGCTTTCAACCCGCATCGGTTTGCGGTGGCCTCTTCCACTGCTACCACATGAAACTTTCCCCTCAGGTGCTTCAGCTGCCCTGTCCATGCTGGGCTGGGCTCTCGCACTCACTGAGATCAAGTCCAGTGGATGCAAGGTCCTCCCTGCTCCCACAGCGCCCCAGCCGGAGCAGGATGAGACCACTCTTCCTGCAGAGCTCGCAGAGCAGCTGAACTGAAGCCCAGACGCTGGGAGGGAAACCATACCGTTTTCTTCACCATCAACACTTCCTCCTGGTTGCTTCCGCTCAAAAGCTACTCCCGCATGGAAAGGCGAGGCTAAACCGCGTCTGAAAACTGTCCGAGCTTCCTAGACATTGTTTGCACGCCTGAGTAGACGCGATTCAGCCAATTTTCAGACGACTTTTCTGTCTGAAACTTACCCGACTTTTGAACTAGCCGGCGCTGCAGACTGCAGCGCCCATGCGCTGTGGCCGAGCTTCGTGAGGACAAATGGCTTGGCTGAGCACACAGCCACCTCCAGGCTGCGAGCGAGCTGAGGGATAGCTGCCCGCTGTCAGAAAGCCTCATGGGAAGGAAAATGAAACTGGCAGCGACCGCAACTGGCCGGCCGGTGAGTGGGATCGAACCAACAGACTCCGAGTCACGAGTCGTTCGGCTAGCACGCTTGGGCAGAGCGCGCTCGCTCCCGGGGAGAAGCGAACAGCGAACACGTTCCTCCTCAGCGCGTCGCGGGAGTATATCAACTTTGTGCTTTTGGTGAATGATCAACACGCCAGCATAAGTCAGCAGACGCCAGACCAGACTATTGCATTCTAGCTTTCACACAATTCCGCGTCAAACGAGCCTACATGTGATAGGGTTCAGATAAGCGGTCAGCAAATGAAAAGCAAATCAAAAAGTACAAAAAATGAAATAAATCTATGCCATATGCCATAAGCCAAAACATAAATTGTAACGCTTTGGAGCTTTAACGCCTTTGAAAGGTAGCATATCCTACCTTTGTTTTACCAGTGTTGTTGGACACAAAAGTATGTTGCGTCAGCGTCACCCGCTCTTATAGAGTGCCAAACACTTAAGCAACTTCAACCCTACTTACTTTCAACAAAAACCGTGATGTCCTCGTCGGTTTCTTCTGGGTGTGACAGGATTTTGAATCGGTACCTTCGACTGCACACTTTACTTATGCACTGGAAATACCCTTTAAAAGCGTTGGTGCTATTATATTTCCTGGAGGAATGATGAACCAAATTGTATTTTTCTGTGGCCAGTGCGCAGTTGCACCTATCTGGCTTTAACTCCCTAAACTTAGATTTTAGATTCTCCTGCCACAATTTATTCAGGCTTGTCTCTTCAGGGTTGTAATACTGCTTCCACCAACTGCTTTTTACTTGAAAAGTGAAGAAGTGCTCGTATTGGGGTGCCATGATGACTCTATACTATGTCAAGTATGGTAAAGGTCCATTGCCATTTCCCATTTTCATTTCCCATTGCCATTGCCCATTGCTATCCACATTGCCAAGTTGTCCCTTGCCATTGCGCGCATGACTGGAACCAGTGGAACACACTAAATCTATCGTAAATGTGCAGGTAGAAACTTCCCGACTTCTGGCTTCAACAGTCACTGTCCCGACATTGACGCTCCCGTGTGTGTGCGTTGCATCGTGAAGTGCTACCTTCTTATTGCTTGCGTATAAGTTACGTTCGTATCGCACACAATGGGTAAGTGCTTCCAGTATACTAATATGAGACTTTTCCCTTCATGTACGTGTTATTTGCTGAATACTCGGTGACAGATTCAGTAGCTGCCTAAGCATTTCACAAGGCATTACTTGTACTCTGAATGTTACAGACGAAGAATCCTTCAACTTCTTTTGTGAATGGGAGGAGGAGCGCCTTGAGGAGGCGCACAGAGTCATCACAAACCTGATGGTTTCTGAAGAATCCAAGGTGCACTTGCGCAACTTGGCGCTGTTACGCAAAACTAGAAGAGTTGCCCAACAGCAATTTAGGGCTAGAATGCACGAGTGGTCCCACGATATACATCAGCTTCATATCTATGAGGCAAAGGAAAATGAAATTGGTGAGTGTTGAACAAATGACGCTACGCTACATCGTTATTTTACGAATGGCTTTGTAAAATCTAAAGCTCTAACTAAAAGGTATGAAATTTGTATACATTTTTGTCAAATTGTACGTCTAACGACTCAAAAATTTGCATTGGGTAAAAAATATATTTGTAACATTTATTCCCATAAAATCACGAAAACTCTTTGCACTGACGCGTTCACACTTCTCTGTATTGCACAATTACGCGATTTCCCTCCCGTACGAGATGGTTTTGTTGTTATGCGGCTTCCCGTCACGCGAAAAGAGTATAAACTTGTGACTCCGTGCTAAGACATGGAAAAACCCAATGACCTTCATTAACAGCCTCCCAGTAAAAGTGCCCTCGCCATGAACGTTACCAGTGCTACTACGAGCGTCGAAAATACGTTCTGTGCTGACCCTACCGCGCCTTTTTTATGACTATAGTTTTGTTAACGATTCCTTCCTTCTTTCACGGGTTAAAACTTTACAATATTTGTTACTACATCCCGTGGGCCTCATAGGGCGCCCCATTTGCGGCGCTCTTCCTGTAAGTAGACAACCCATTCTACTTCAGGTAAGCGCAGGCAA